TTTCTCCGTCTGAGATCGGATGGGAGGATGGGTAACAACGACGTTCATACTTCTGTTGTCGGCAGGACTGTGGTTTTAATGTGTAGGAAATAAAGAATGCAGAACTGTGCACTCAGTTAGGACTAGAGACTCCTTTCCCTGGCAATGTTTTGTGTGTGCACGGGGTTTTCTGTCCACCATGGAAAGCCCCGCTTGACTGTAAGAAAGACAGGACACACACACACACACACACACACACACCCTCCCGATATACCCTACCAACTTATCCTTCACAACTCCACTCACAAGTCTTTAAGGACACTCAGCAGATGCCTGTTACAAGTCAAAAAGGACTAATGGTGTTATAAAGAGGTCTTGGTGACCCCAAGTGCTGGCCTCTTGCTCTCTGCTGCAGCTCCTTTTAGGAAGACAAATGCAACAGCCCCGCTCCAGTTATCTCAGGCAGAGTGGTCTGGGGGTGGCTGGTGGGCACGTGGATTAAGCTTGTTCAGGGAGGGTCTCCACTCTGTCAGCCTCGCATGCCATGTCACACTTTCTCCTCTACTAATGTGCAGATGAAATTAGGAATACCCACAGATGTTGTCGTGATGATTACACGAGCTCGTATTTGCTAAGCGCTTGGCCGAGAGCAAGCACGTAGGAGACTATCTTAGGTCGGGCTCCCTACAAGGGGTGCTTCTAACAGAGGTGGGGGCTCTCGTAGAGTGACTGAACGTGTACGTGATGCAGGACAGGGCAGGGGAGGAGCTGGCAAAGCTACGATTTCCGGAGAAGTCTAGCCTCAGCCCGATGTTCAGGGAGGGTCTCCACTCTGTCAGCCTCGCATGCCACGTCACACTTTCTCCTCTACTAATGTGCAGATGAAATTAGGAATACCCACAGATGTTGTCGTGATGATTACAAGAGCTCGTATTTGCTAAGCGCTTGGCCGAGAGCAAGCACGTAGGAGACTATCTTAGGTCGGGCTCCCTACAAGGGGTGCTTCTAACAGAGGTGGGGGTCTCGTAGAGTGACTGATCGTGTACGTGAGGCAGGACAGGGCAGGGGAGGAGCTGGCAAAGCTACGATTTCGGGAGAAGTCTAGCCTCAGCCCGATCCCATGGGGACCTCTGGAGTGTGAAGGGCACTAGTGTGTCCCAGCAAGGCAAGGGGGCTGGGCTGTTATACTGCACAATCAATCCCTGGGGGTGGGTGTAGCCTCTCAGACATCTCTTGTCAGTGCAGGATTATCCTCATTATCCTCTGGAAAAGACAGCCTGACACAGCCAAGGGGGTTTGGGGGGCGGGGGGAGGCTGCAGCATCTGCTGCACAAGTCAACAACGATTGGATGACAGCATGTCTGCATGCCACGGGGCCAGAGCTCAGAACTCAGGAATCTGAAAACCTGAGCCTCAGTTTCCTCATCCAAACCATCTTCCCTTTGGTCTCACAAAGCCTCCTCTGAGTCCCAGCTTGAGGTTGGCACCCTGGCTTCATTTGTGGACAAGTCACAATTGTATTCTAATTGCACAGACTCCATCCTGTTCTCTGAAGCAGCCCGACACCCAGCACAATGTCCACAATGCACATTTGCCACCAGTGTGAACGTGTAGAGAAGGTCTGTCAGCTTCAGCGACACTCCCCTCTTTGGGCTCCTAATTGGATATAGCGTTCCTGACCCCTGTTCTTCATCTGATGCTTTTCTTACCTTGTCTTTCCTTCTATGAGTCCTTTGACGTGTGGTGGACATGTTTCTCCTTCTCTTCTCACCCCTCTCCATAGAGCTTGGTTTCACTCCAATGTGCTCCAGCCCCATTCAGGATTTGGGATAGATCTGTGCCCTGATCTGTGACATCCTGAAACAACAAGGTGCCCGAGAGGGTGGGAATGCAGCTTCACAATGGCCATGTTGGGTGGTAAGGTGACTACTCAGTGGGCAGGAAGGAACGGAAAAGACAGCAGTGGCAGCCTCATTGGCGATAACTCATGCCAATCAGAAGGGAAGGTGTCAGAGCAGGGACATCCAGCACTTGGGACATACCCTGGCACATGCAACATCACAACATATTTGTTTTTTTGACTTTTCCCACCTTCCCCTTGGACACTTAATTGTTCATGTGTAACTAAAAGAACTCAAGTGGTGGAATTTCTAGCACAGAACATGCA